CCTTGGTGGCGCAAGGTCAAAATCGATCGCGAAGTAGATCGCACACCTCATCTACCTCGCATCACCATTCTCGCAACCATCACTCACGACATTCAGAGAGTTCGGATGAACTCGGATGGTTCAGAAGGGAACGGTAACTATTCTGCAACACATCGCCAACATCATCGCCGCCAGGAACGTGATATCCATCACCGAACAGGGAGGAAGATTGATTTACCGTTATTTAACGGAGAAGATGCGTATGGCTGGTTGATAAAAATTGATCGCTACTTCAGACTTAACTATATCGAGGAGGAAGAGAAGGTCAATGTAGCGGTAGTGGCCATGGAAGACAAAGCATTGAGCTGGTTCCAAGGATGGGAGAATCAGACGCATGAGAGGAACTGGGGAACATTAAAGGCAGCCTTAATTCGTCGATTCCAACCGGAGTTGGTTCAGAATCCTTTGGGGCCTTTATTAAGCCGAAAACAGAAAGGAACGGTGCAAGAGTACAAAGATCAGTTTGAATTGGCTGTGGCTTCTCAAGATGATTTGAGCATGAAGGTTACTAAAGGAATTTTTTTGAATGGATTGAAGAAGGATATTAGAGCTGAACTAAAGCTCTATAAGACGAGAGATTTGGCTGATATCATGGACACTGCATTGTTAATTGAACATAAAAACAATGAAGCTGTATCAAGGAGAAACAAGGAGGATGGGGAAAAAATCTAGAAAAATAGTATGAATTACAGGAAGTGGGGGGATGGAAGTAAAAGAAACTATAACCTAAATCCAGTTGAGAAGAATTCTGTTGATAGCAAGAAGCAGGATGAAGGTTCTAGCGCTGTAATAAAGAAGTCAGGTCCCAGGGTCAGAATGAACTTCTGGAGAGAAGTAAAAAAGGGCTATGTTTCAAATGCGGAGATAAATGAAGTAGGGGGGCCATATTTGCAGAATGAAGAACTTCAAAATGGTGTTGGTTGAGCAATCTGAAGGTGAAGATGAGTCTGATACTGCCTCTAGTGATAATGCAGAAGGAGAAGGGGTTCATAAGGAATCCAAAACTATGCAGTTATCTGTACTCAGTAAAGAAGGGATATCTTCTTTGAAAACCTTCAAGGTAAAAGGTAGTCTGAAATGGCTAGATAATGAACAACAGGTGAATATTTTGATTGATAGTGGTGCTACCCACGACTTTATATCCCAGAAAATTGTTGATAAATGGAAAATACTTTTCCAATGTATCAAGGGATATAAAGTACAAATAGGGAATGGAGCCTTGATTCCAAATTTTGGTAGATGTGAAGGGATGAGATTAAATGTGCAAGGAAATGAAATTCAACAAGATTTTTATATATTGGAGTTAGGAGGAACTAACCTGGTGTTGGGAATGGAGTGGTTAACTGATTTGGGTGATATGCAGATTAATTTCCAAAATCAGGTGATGAAATGGAGGAAACAAGGGTTGAATCAGTCTATTCAGGGGATGCAGCCTTGAATAACATGGAAGTCTCTTTTAAAACTATGACTCACATCTTACAACAAACAGGAGATGGATATTTGTTGTATTATGAAAGTCAAGGTACTGAAGGGCAGAAACAGACACAGAATGGGAAGTGGAATGGAGTGATGGAAGAATATCCTGAGGTTTTCAAAGCTAGTTTGGATATGCCATCTGTCAGGCCTTGTGACCATGCTATAAATATCAAGGAAGGGGTCAGTATACAAAACCTCAGACCTTACAGGTATTCATATGATCAAAAGAATGTGATTGAGAATATTATTCAAGAAATGCTAAGCTCTGGAATTATCAGAAACAGTAACAGTCCATAGCAGCCCAGTGTTATTAGCTAAGAAGAAGGATGGGGGTTGGAGGATGTGTGGAGATTATAGAGCATTGAATAAGATAACCATTCCAGACAAGTTCCTTATACCAATTATTGAAGAACTCTTAGATGAATTAGGGGGATCGAAGGTGTTCTCTAAGTTGGATTTAAAATCTGGTTATCACCAGATTAGAATGAAAGAGGAGGATGCACATAAAACAGCTTTCAGAACCCACGAAGGGCATTATGAATATGTTGTCATGCCATTTGGGTTGACCAATGCACCTTCTACCTTTCAAGCATTGATGAATGAAGTCCTGAGGCCTTCCTTAAGAAAGTTTGCTCTAGTGTTTTTTGATGATATTCTGATTTATAGTAAATCAGAAGAAGAGCATGTTGAGCATTTAAGGAAGGTACTACAAGCTTTGAAGGAGAACAGTTTGGTAGCTAACAAAGCTAAGTGTTCCTTTGGACAGACTACTTTGTCATATTTGGGTCACATCATATCTGAAGAAGGGGTGTCTGCATATCCTAGCAAAATAGAAGCGATGGTCAGTTGGTTAGAACCAAGAGATCTGAAAAGCTTGAGGGGGGTTTTCTGGGGTTGACAGGGTACTACCGGAGGTTTGTAAAAGGGTATAGCAGAATTGCAGCCCCTTTAACACAATTACTGAAGAAGGACAACTTCCATTGGGGAAAGGAGGCTAGTATGGCTTTTGCAGAACTGAAACAAGCCATGACATCTTTACCAGTCTTAACCAATCCAGACTTCAATAAAGACTTTATTATTGAAACAGATGCATCTGGTAAAGGGCTGGGGGCTGTATTAATGCAAGAAGGGAGACCCATTGCGTACATGAGTAAGGAATTAATGGCGATAGTTTTTGCTGTTCAGAAATGGCGACCTTACTTACTGGGGAGGAAATTTGAAGTACATACTGACTAGAGAAGTCTTAAATACTTAACTGAACAGACAGTCATGGGGGCAGAACAACAGAAATGGATAGCCAAATTGCTAGGCTACAATTTCTCTATCAGATACAAACCCGGTTTGGAGAACAAAGCAGCAGATGCTTTGTCCAGGAAGACTCGGTTTAATTCAATATCAATAGTCACTTGTTTGGAATGGGAAGGACTGGAGGAGGAATTGTTAGCTGATCAGAAATGTTATGACACCATTCAGAAGGTATTAAGTCAACCAGATCAAGTACCAGAATTCAGATTGAAGAAAGGATTGTTGTATTTTAAAGGGAGGTTAATGTTACCAAAAGGGTCTCCTACAATTGCTAAAATCCTTGAGGAGTATCATGATTCAGCCACAGGAGGTCATTCTGGAAATTTCAGAACTATGAAAAGAATATCAACCTTATTTTATTAGGTTGGTATGAGAAAGGATATTCAAGATTATGTTCAAACATGTGAGATATGCCAAAGGAACAAGTATCAGGCATTGAAACCAGTTGGGTTGCTACAGCTTTTACCCGTTCCAGATAGAATTTGGGATTATATAAGCATGGACTTTATTGGTGGATTGCCCAAATCTAAAGGGAAGGATACCATTTTGGTGGTAGTTGACAGGTTAACTAAATTTGCACATTTCATAGCCCTTAAACACCCATATACTGCTAAGGAGGTAGCTGAGTTGTTTATTAAAGAAGTGGTGAAGTTGCGTGGATTCCCCAGATCTATTGTGAGTGACAGAGACAGTATTTTTTTGAGCAAATTTTGGTCAGAATTATTCAGATTGGCTGGAACTCAACTGAATTATAGCACAGCTTACCATCCACAATCTGATGGGCAGACTGAGGTGGTGAACAGATGTCTGGAGACATATTTAAGATGCTTGACTGGGAAGAAACCTAAGGAGTGGATACATTGGTTACCTTGGGCATAGTATTGGTATAATACCAATTACCACATATCCCTAAAACAGACTCCCTATAAGACACTTTATGGACAAGAGCCACCTGTGATCATCAAAGGAGATGTATCTATTACTGCTATCGATGAAGTGGCAAGGATGACTGCTGAAAGAAACAGAATGTTAAATGAAATCAAGGAAAATTTAGCTATTGCTCAAAATAAGATGAAGCAACAAGCTAATAAGCACATGAGGGAACTGAAACTAGAAGTTGGAGAACAAGTTTTTCTGAAGATTCAACCCTACAAGATGCAGAGCTTGGCCAAAAGATTGAACCAGAAATTAAGTCACAGGTTCTATGGACCTTTTGAGGTTATTGAGAAGTTGAATGAGGTTGCTTTCAAACTGAAGTTACCGGAACATTGTTTGATACACCCAGTTTTCCATATTTCTCTACTCAAGAAGGCTTTATCCCCAAACACTCTTTGTCAACCCTTGCCTAAATGCTTGAATGAGAATTGGGAATTGCAGGTTATACCAGAGGAGGTGGTGGATACCAGAAGAAATGTGGATGGAGTAACAGAGCTTCTCATACAGTGGAAGGACTTATCTGAGTTTGAGAGATCTTGGGAAGATGCAAAAGTATTGAAGGAGCAATTTCCAGACTTCTATCTTGGGGACAAGATAGATGTTCAGCCGGGGAGTATTGATAGAAGCACAGCTAATTCGAACAATAGAGCTAAATACTTTGGCAGGGTGTATTCTAGAAGGAAGAAATAAGCTGCTAGTTGTTAGTTATAGTCTGTTAATAACTAAATAACTACTTCTGTTGTTCGAACTACTATAAATAGAAGGGAGGCTGGGGAAATAGGCAGACTGTTAGACTGTTATAGTCGGGACTGAGAAAGATTGAGATTCACTGTCTCTCTCTTTTGGGGCTTCGGCCATTGTAGCTGGTTTCATTCAATAAAGTTCTGGAGACTTGTTCTATAGTTTGCTCTAAATTTTTCTGTGAAATTGTTGAGTTCTATCATAATTATACCTAAGGTTTGGTTAGGACTTTTTTCCCATCATCTTTGAGTAATTTGAATTCCTGTGAAAATACTTTCTTATTCACCAAACATGGGAATTAATTGGTACAGGTAATTTAACAGTATAGGGAAAAGATTTATTCCCAACCAACACACCTAGATCCAGTTGTCAAATAATATTACTTGTTGGCTATCTTAAGCTGATGAGGAATTTGCTGGTATGTATTTTTTTTCTGGGGGGCATGACCGCATGACTCCCTAGTATCCAGATGCAATAAAATCTAAAAGACAATTCAGTAAAACCTGTAGCTTTGATTCAAAATCCTGAGGAGACCAGCTCAAGTTACATTCTTTCAGTTCCAGTTCCCCGGCAACAACCTGTAGTTTTTTGTTTTCCATTTTTGAAGAAAGATCATGAAAAAAATTCAGAAGACAAATTACAGAATTTGGTATAAATAATACCAAACCTAATAATAATAAAATATAAAAAACTCTCTTCTATATAGCCTCTCATAATATTCAATCCTCACATAAACACTCTAATTTATAGATGATCTCCATTGAAAGTCTCACCATTTCCTCTTTTATACAACTTAAATTACTACAGACCGTTTTAGTTTTTTTAAAAAACGCAAAGACCCCTGACCAGTATGATTTTTTGTGAACCACACAAAGATAACAGAACATAAGGTTGGATATTGTGTTATTTCAGCACCAAATTACCCTCATTGGTCACATAAATTCTTTTTTTATACACAACTAGAAATAATTGAGCCGATAAATGCACTAAAGACTCAAAACTTGATCTGAAGATGCACAAATCTTGTTGATAACTTGATATCATTGTATTCTAGTCTTTCACTCTTTCCGGGTTAAAAGGGTCGTTCACACTTCACAGAAAAAATGTCTGGTCAAAGAACTCTGTTGTACTTAATTATCAGAAACCTCTAGGTTCATTTGGTAATTTGACTGCAAAGGGGATGGTGGATGTATTTAACCGGAAAAATACTCACCAACTCAAATTAGAATATAATCATCACAGGATTCTGAGAGCTTTTGTGTTTGAATTAAAATTATATCCATATAAGATAAGATACATGATTATCATGAATAAAAGAACGAACAGAAGCAGGAGGCGTACCCCTCCCACCCCAGCAGCCATAGCGGGAGCTACTATAATAACCTTTTTCAGAACATCAACTGCCTCAGGAGTGCAGGGCATATTTGAGCCTGAAAAAGAATTCCAATGCAATAAATAGTAGCATCAAATGATGGTTTACCTTTGAAAAACAACGAGTTTTATCGATTTAAGACCCATAAAATAGGTTAGCTGTTAATCAAGGGTCTAGAAGATGAAAACTGTCAATTTAAGACCTAAATGGTTGAAATATAAATCTAATAGTCAAAATATCACACGATTTGAACCTTCTTTTTTTTGGGAAAATAGTAAGTTTTGCATTAAAATTCAACCGAAATTCCTTGATGGGATATGTATATAAAGAGAAAATTGCTAGTAATATGAGTCATATGACTAAAAGATGTAGTGACTAGTGATTCCAAAAATATGACTAACTAGTTTTTTATTCCCGAATTAATGTTGTCTTGCATATATGATACTTATTGTGATGTTATTTTCTATCTTCAATTTAAATATTACTCATATAAAGGCATATTTAAGTTTGTTAATCATTAGGAATCCATGCATGGTTTAGTCATATGTAGATAACTTTCCCTATATTAAATCATAGTAGTCGATGGCGCAGATGGCCTGGTGATGAGAATACCTGTGGCGGCGCCATTTCCATCGTCTGCACCATTTGCACCATAGTTGGGCCTTATTTTAGACATTTTTTAAAAATAGGCCCATATATATGTACACACACATATCCTTATTTCTACCTTGCTGTAAGGAAAAAACCATCATTGCTATATTTTAATAGTAATATAGAAATTTCTACAATTAAATATTAGAAGTTAGGCTTATGATAGTATGTGTAATATCATATTATGTACTCCCTCCGTCCCGGAAAGATTCGCCAAATTGACTTTTCTTGGTCAACGATAATCAACTATGATCAATGATATTTTTTAATATGAAATACTTTTGAATATAAAAACTATATCAAAATGTTCCTTATTCAAAATATTTTCATAATATAAAATCTAAAAATCATGTACAAATATAATCATTAAAATTATTGCCCAAAGTTTGTCATCATTGACCAAGAAAAGTAAATTTAGCAAACCTTTCTGGGAGACGGAGGTAGTATAATATTACATGTATTACTACCTCCGTCCCATATTGGATGTCTTATTTTTGTTTGTCACAAGTATTAATAAAGTGGTTCAAAAGTAAAAGTTGTGCTAGAAGTTTGAGAAGAATAAAGTGCAATGATATGGATCACATATTTTTTACCAAAAAAGGAAACAGGACATTCATTTATGTTTTGTTTTATCACTTCACGTTTTAGGCTAAAGGGTCAAATAGGCCCTTGAACTGACTTAAAGTGTTCAATTAGCCCCTTATATAGGAGGTTATGCCCGGCCGTCCCTAATTGGGGCGGTTCCCGGTGGAATTTTTTGATGAAATCTTTTGAGCATCTTCTTCATTAAGTCTAGTTTACTCATACCAAATTTCAGCTAAAAATTCAACCGGGAAGGCAGTCAAATAATTTTCCGAAATGTACTGCGTTGTTTAACTTCGCAGTTATTTTCAAAAAATCGTTTGACTGCCTTCCCGGTTGAATTTTTAGCTGAAATTTGGTACGAGTAAACTAGATTTAATGAAGAAGATGCTCAAAAAAAATCATCAAAAAATTCCACCGGGAACCGCCCCAATTGGCAACGGCCGGGCAGAACCTTCTATATAAGGGGCTAATTGAACACTTTAGGTCAGTTCAAGGGCCTATTTGACCCTTTAGCCCACGTTTTATGCCTAATTTGACAGTACATTTAGTTTATGTTATACGATGTGTTTAGTTTCATGTTTCAGTACCAATATATTGGGTAGTTGAAAAATGTGAATGGTCCAGTACTATGCAGAGAACTATTTGATTTCATAAATCATAATAGTTTAGTATTTGACTATTCTGATATGAGTGTATCTGTTTATTATTATTATACTCTATTAGTCTATTTATTATCATACTGTTTGTATTATTACTTTCCTTTACAAGTATTAGTAGTAGTTTCCTATTGTTATTGTAGTAGTTTCCTATTAATATAGGAAATTTATTTTAGTTATTATCCTCATAGCAATATTGTAAGAGGTTAGGTTTACTCTAATGCTAATCTACCAACACTCTTGGAACATGTGAAAAATGTTCCGATGAAAAATGGTAGTATAAATAGCGGTTCTCTATTCATTAATAATAATATGATCAATATTTCCGGAGTTAATCCTTGGAGTCTTGCCAAGGTTGGATGGCACCTTCACTTGCCTAGAGCAGAGAAGTTCTTAATTTTTATTGATTTCCGGAATAATATCAGTTCTTACTTCTTATTTCATCTCCCTACCACGCTTGTAACCATTTGTAACCAGAGCCATCATGTTTCCGCCCGGTTCATCTTCTTTCCTACCCTTTCTATTTTATCCTGCCAGCATGTCGTCCATCTCTCTCCTAACTTTTCAATTTATTTTCAACAACAACATCAATGGTTGTTCGGTTTCGGTTTTGGTCAGTTCGGTTTCGGTCGATTTGTCAGTCAGTTTCGGTTTTTTTGTTCACCCCCTTGACAAAGTCTTAGTCCCAAACGATTTTGGGGCCGGTTAAGATGAACTGATACATGATATCGATGCCAAAAGGAAAAGAAAGATAAAACCATAAGGTATGATAAAAAAAAAGATGACAAAAACTGATAAGATAAAAAGGATAAAACATACTTCGTGTGTGTGTGTGTGTGTATATATATATATATATATATAACAAAATGATAAATAACACAAGAAAGATAAAGAAGACAAAGGGAAAAAAAGATGATAAGAGATCAATCCGTCACATGAATATACGTCCTCCATTTTGCCATACACCATGACAACTACGTATAAAAATAAAAATAAAAATACTCCCTCCGCGACTCCGTCTTATTGGATTTTGCGAACTTTCTTTTTTGGGTTGTCCCTGTTGAAATATAAACTAAAATGATATTGAATGATATTGAAGGTGGAGAGAAGGATTTTCTGTGTATTTCATTAGTTGTGGAAGTCCCTATAAATATACATTACAAATAGAATATTCCTATATAAGATTCTATACAATAATAATATTTATGGTATATTCCTAATATATTCTAAAGTATATTCTAAAGTACTCCCTCCATCCCGCTAAGATCGTCCCATTTTACCTTTTCGGGAAATCCCACTAAGATTGTCTCATACCATATTTGGTAAAGTTTGTATGGCTCATAATCATTCTTACTTTATCAATTCAACAACAACCACATAAACTCACTTTTCTTAATAACCGTGCCACCTTCTTCCGTCCCAATGTTAGTGGGACGGATGTAGTATATTCTAATATACTTTCACACTCCCCCTCAAGTTGGAGCATAGATATTTATCATGCCCAACTTGTTACATAAGTAATCAACTCAAATCCCATTTAGAGCTTTAGTGAATAAATCTCCAAGTTGTTCTCCGGTCTTCACATATCTGGTAGAGACTGATCCGTTTTGTATCTTCTCTCGAATAAAATGGCAATCAACCTCAATATGCTTTGTTCTCTCATGAAATACGGGATTGTTTGCTATGTGTATAGCAACTTGGTTATCGCACCATAACTGAGCAGACATTGGTGTCTTCAATCCGATTTCATTCAATAAATGGCGTATCCATATTATCTCACATGTGGATTGTGCCATAGCTCGATATTCCGATTCAGCACTAGAACGAGAAACCACATTCTGTTTCTTACTCTTCCAGGATACAAAATTACCATCAACAAAGACGCAATAGCCAGATGTAGATCTTCGATCATCTTTAGAACCGGCCCAATCAGCATCTGCAAAGCATTCTATTCTCATGTGATCATGGTTTTGATAAACAATACCTCGTCCTGGTGCTCCCTTTAAGTAACATAATATGTGTTCTACAGTAGCCCAATGATCAATGGTCGGAGATGAGATGTATTGACTCACTACACTCACAGAGTATGCAATAAGCAATATCTGGACGAGTGACTGCAAGATGATTAAGCTTTCCAACCAATCATCTATATCTTTCTGGGTCTTCAAACGGCATGCCTTCTTGAGTGAGTTGCACATTGGGAACCATGGGAGTATTGCTCGGCTTTGATCCCAACTTCTCGGTTTCAGCGAGCAAATCAAGTACATATTTTCGTTGAGATAGAAACATGTCTTTCTTACTCCGTGTTACCTCAATACCCAAGAAGTATTTTAATGAGCCTAGATCTTTTGTCTGGCAATGAAGATAATTTTTAAGGGCCAAAATACCTACATTATCACTGCCTGTAATCACAATATCATCGACATACACCACAAGCAATGTGATACCTGCTTTCGTTCGTTTGTAAAAGAGAGAGTGATCTGATTTGCCTTTTATCATTCCAAATTGTTCAATTGATCGACTGAACTTCCCAAACCATGCACGAGGACTCTGTTTCAGACCATAAAGAGATTTGCGAAGTCGACAAACTTTACCACACTCGCCCTGAGCAACAAACCCCGGAGGTTGCTCGATGTAAACTTCTTCCTGAAGGATGCAAGAATGCATTTTTAATGCCCAACCGATGTAAGTGCCAATCATGAGTTGCAGCGAGTGAAATAAGTAACATGACAGATGTTAATTTAACAACAGGATAAAAAGTGTCAGAATAATCAACACCATAGGTTTGAGCATAACCCTCCCGCAACTAATCGAGCTTTCAACCGAGCAACAGATCTGTCTGGATTAACTCAACAGCAAAGACCCACTTACATCCAATAGACTTCTTCCCTGTAGGCAAGTCTACCAAATCCCAAGTACCATTAAGATCCAAAGCATTCATTTCCTCTACCATGGCATGACGCCTTTCAGAATGAGACAAAGCTTCTTTAACAGATTTGGGAACAGAAATAGAATCGATGGAAGCAATAAAAGAACATGAGGCGGGGGATAACTAATTATACGACACAAATGAAGAAATAGGATAAGTACAAGACCGTGTACCTTTACGTAGTGCTATCGGGAGGTCAAGATCTGATGTAGAGACAAGATCTGAAGATGCATGTACCGGTTTAGGACATGAGATCAAGGATGGACCAATATTAGGACAAGTAATCACAGGTGTCACAGGTGGAGGGGTGGAGGGTGATCTGGTGCTCTGTTTCGACGGGTGTAAACCAAGTGTACTAGAGGTCTGGGGTCGGGAACAGTATGTGGAATGACTACAGAAGGTATAGATTCTGGTATAGTGACAGAGTAAATGAGTATTTCATCATTGTCCCCGTGAATATCTGTCTTGGATGATGCAAAGGGGGTATTTTCATGAAACGATGCATCAATGAAATGATGACAAAAACATCTATACCCCTTCTGAACTCGAGAATAACCCAAAAAAATACATTTTAATGATGGAAAAAATTGATTGTAATAATCCCAACTATTGGCGGTCCGCTTATAATAATCCCAAGTATCGATTATCTCAGAATAATCCCAACTATAGTGACCCTCCGCCAATAATGGTCCATGACCAAATATGACCTGCTATAACAAGTGAATTTTAAATAGAAATAAAGCGTAAAAATTAAAAGTTGAATTATTTATAGGGAGTACTTGTTAAATCTTTTCTCATCCACTTTAGAAACTATAGGAATTTAGCCGGTCATGTCGGACCATTATTGGCGGAGGGTCACTATAGTTGGAATTATTCTGAGATAATCGATAGTTGGGATTATTATAAGCGGACTGCCAATAGTTGGGATTATTACAATCAATTTTTAATTTAATGATTTGGGGTCTAACTTTGTAAGGTGAGGATTAACGTCTCTAACAAAGCAAGTGCAACCAAATGTTTTAGGTGGGATAGGAAAAAGCTCTTTATCTGGAAATAAGCAGTGATAAGAAGCTTTACCGTTTAAAACAGAAGACGGCATACGGTTTATCAAAAAACATGCAGTAGACACGGCATCCGCCCAAAACTGTTTAGGCACATTCATTTGGAATAGAAGAGCCCTTTCAGTTTCTAACAGATGTCGATTTTTTCTTGCAGGGACTCCATTTTGAGGAGGTGTGTCTACGCATGAAGTTTGATGAATAATGCCATTTTGAAGCATAAAAGATTTAAATGGAGCATAGAGATATTCTTGGGCATTGTCTCCCCTCAACACACGAACAGGAACATTAAATTGAGTTTTAATTTCAGCACAAAATGAAGAAAAATGAGTAAATAACTTTGATCTACGTTTCATAAAGTATAACCATGTCATACGAGAATAATCGTCAACAAATGTAACAAAATATTTGAAGTCAGTTTTGGACACAACAGGACATGCCCCCCCAAACATCAGTATGAACAAGATCAAAAGGAGCATTCGTTCGTTTATTAGGTCGAGGACTTAAACTAGTACGATGATGTTTTGCAAATTCACACGACTCACATTGTATAGAAGAAACCTTGTTAAACTGAGGATAAATTTGCTTCATTAGTGGGAGAGATGGATGTCCTAATTGGTAATGAGTTTCTAATAGATTTCCAACCCCAAGACAAGATATACCTTTTGTGATTGATGTATCCAAAATATAAAGACCAGCTGACTCATGTCCTTTACCAATAGTCTGCTTTGTCAACAGATCCTGAAACACACAATATCCAGGAAAAATGTTACAGAACAATTAAGAGTACGTGTGAATTTACTAATGGAAAGCAGATTAAATGTAAAATTAGGAAGACTCAAAACAGGTGATAATGGTAATGTAGAAGTTGGGACAACAGTACCGGATCCAAGAACAGGTGAAGTAGATCCATCAGCTAAAGTGACACTAGAAGTAGGTAAATGTGAATGAAATGATAAGAATAGACTAGGATTACCAGTCATATGATCTGTGGCACCTGAGTCAATGACCCATTTTGAGGATGAGGAAACAAGACATGTTTGAAATACCTGAATTGGCGAATATCGAGATAGGGACAGATGAATGCTTTAGAAATTTTTGGTAGGAAATAAATTTGGCATACTCGTCTGAAGAAACAACAATTGATCCATCAGATGAACAGGTAGCGGAAGCAACATGACCAAGCTGATTTCCTTGATTCTTGAATAGCAATTTCCTACATTCTTTGATCAAGTGCCCGGACTTCTTGCAGTAATTGCATATTACTCCACTGTTAAATTGACCCGCACACGACATTTTCTTTCTTTTTTTTACTTACAGTAGCTTTCTCGTTTTTTACTCAAAATTTGGAGAGTACAATGTCCAAGGCATTGACTGCTACTGGCCCAGCTTTCTCCATACTAATTGCGCATATGTGAGACCCAACATGTGCGAACAATTAGTGCAAACAATAGTGAAGGGGTGGATTTCCACGGGTATGCGCTACTCCAGCAGACGCGAACAACCGGATGACGGGGCGGATTTCCAAAGATATCCGATGCCAGATCCTAGACCTCAGGGACGAGACCAGAACGTGGGTATGTCTGGATACTTTGATTCCAGACCCCGGCGAGCGACTAACCACTACACCTCCTCCCACAGCTCTTGTCCCTTTGTAGTTTGTAGAGAAAGAACGAGATAGAAGTAACGTAACCTGGTGGTAGAGGACCTCAGGCGAGCCTGTTGAGGAGTTCTGACCAAATCTCCGGACAGAAAAGTTGTGTCACGTGCCGGATTTCTGCTGCAGGGTCGTCTGAGGTAGGCGAAGAATCTGGGGCTATAAATTTAACTGAACTGAGTTTCTGAAAAATTAGCAACTAATTGATTTTCTGGAAAGTAGCAGCTAATTGATTTTCTGGATTAAGAATCTGGTTCTAGGGTCTTTGGATGTTCTGGAATAAGAGTCTGGATAGAGGTTCTGGGAGGTTCTGGGAAGAGGTTCTAGGAAGGGTAGGAGGTTCTGAAGGTTCTGGATTGAAATCAGCTCTGGGAGAAGGAACCCAGTCTTGAACCTAAACTGAGATATGAATGACTAAACTGCAATCTGAAACTAAACTAAATGGATGTCTCTGATACCATGTTGAAATATAAACTAGAATGATATTGAATGATATTGAAGGTGGAAAGAATGATTTTATGTGTATTTCATTAGTTGTGGAAGTCCCTATAAATATACATTACAAATAGAATATTCTTATATAAGATTATATACAATAATAATATCTATGGTATGTTCCTAATATATTCTAAAGCATATTGTAAAGTATATTCTAATATACTTTCACAGTCCCAAAAAAAATTGTCACTTTCCAATTTAAGCAATTAATTTGTAGTTCTGCTCATTTCTCTCTCTTCTGCACAAACTTCAACCACATAACTTTTACTTCTATTATTTCTCACCTACTTTGAAGTTGGAAAAGTACACCAGAGAAAAGTTAATATTAAACTCAATTTAGACGCGAAAAACAATTGAAACTCTTGAAATTTTTCCTATGTCAATACTTTCAACCACTATGGTCAAATAGATATTTCCTCTGTCCCAAAATGATTTGCAAACTCAACTTTTTTTTGTCAACACATTTTCACCTTATTCACTTATTTAGCATTTCAATTTTTTATTATATTCTAATTTGATTTTTGCGACTTTATACAACTTTCATTGTAATGTCCAAATATGTAAATTTTAATTACTACAACTAATTGAACGACCCGCAGGGATGAATTAACTTTATTGTCGGTCAACCTTAAAATTGCAAAATGCAATTCATTTCGGAACGAAGGAAGTAGTTTTTTCATCTTTATCAGGACTGATTGATAAAAACTATCTTTAGGGTCTTAAATCGATGAAAATCTTTAAAGGGACAGTGATGAACTTAGGGTGCAGAGGTCTAAATCTAAAGTCACAATATGATTGTCCACTACCTTCTACAACTATGCGGCAGCCTGAGTTTACTAAGGCAACAGCATCGGTTTGATCAATTTCATTCTGTGATGCACAGGGAAATGCCACATCACACCTTTCATTCCAAGGCTTCGCCTCATCATAGTATTTCGAGCGAGCATATGTTTTTGAGTAATCTCTGAAAAAATTATTGATCATAAGAATAAAGGAAATTGCCCTAAATAGAAGTATAAACATTCTCGGATGCAAAAATAAGAGTACTATATTTATATTCCCGAAATAAGAGTAGTTACTGTCATGATTGAAAAATACTGTCATTAATGACAGTAGATAGTACCATGTTAGTGCTATTACTCCAACTATTTTGGCAGTAATGACTTCAAGATGGCAGTAACTACCGGCATGTTACTCTTGTTTCGGGAAGAAAAATATAGTAGTCTTATTTTGGAATTATCTTATTTTGGGAATTTTAATAATAGTTGAACAACCCCATGATAACTCATTGTTCTATATTGAACCAACATAGAAGAAATACAAACCTTAAACTTCTATTTTGAGCTTTGATGTCTCTTAAGAAAGATATTTTCATGAAATCGAATCCGTCTTCATCCACCAAATAACCTTTTGAGTCTGTAAAGTACATTAGGAAGTTAGGATGTAAAAATCTCATCTACCACATTTATTTTTAATATATTTTTGTAAGAAAATGAAAAAGATGTAGAGGTTCCAAATGACTACACTTCTGGCAGGTTAAAGAAGAGTACTTTTGCACTCCTAAAAGTGATATAGAAATATCTAGCCATCTAGGCAAAAACGTGTTTCCAGATTCAGTAGCCAATTTTGAAAATAACATTTGATAAAAAAATTAATTAATTATGTAATGGAAGTTTATTCCATAGTCCATCCATGGCATACCACCCTGCAACATACACCAGATTAAGACAAGTAAGAACCACCTGATACAGTGATGGGAACAGCCCCATATGCAATAAGTTTCTCCAGGACATGCATTGCGATTTTTCCAGAACCACTAACAACACACCTAAACACAATACAAAAAGTGGAACAAAACAAGTGGATTTAATGAAACACCTGACATTTCCACAAAGCCAGAAATTGATATTACTGAATGGAAAACACTCATTTGTGAAATTCAAGATAATGTGTTAACATCCCCATATACGGAACAACGGTTGTTTCCAATGAAGTGTCAAATAGGTCCATCTACTTGTACAAAAATGCAATTTACATAAAAAGTATAAACATGTATTATCCCATTCAGTTAAACATTGACAGCCATGCAAAAGGTACCTTAGTCCTTTTAGTTCTTTGTTCATGTCTGCGAGTATAAGTTGTGCAAAGAAAACCTGCAAAGTGCAGTAGAAGCCGTCAGTTCTCTAGGACCAGTACAAATTTACTTTTTTGTTTTAAAAGGAAAAGGAAAAGAGAAAAAATGAACCACTAAAGACGTGAAAGGATCATCCACAAGATGACTACAAAGGCACACTTATGCTACATAAATATCAATCCAGAAATATATGCAGTGGGCTTACTACTCTTAAAGAGAAAACACCTAGTAGTTATTTTATCTCTATGGCACTGTACTTCATTATAATTGTTGCAACCCAGGATATTCACCTAGAAATATTCCCAACACACTCGTAACCATTAAGTAGCATTATAGAGAAGTGTGTGTTCACCAATCCATAGCCAGTAGCCTCTGTGCGAAGACTGGCTCCAGACCAATTCACTCTGGGCCCCGTAAAACTTCCCTGCATCAGTTAGTAAAGATTCCCTCTGTCAATACGTGAACTCACTTAAAGTATAAAACTCAATGGCAAGAATGATCAAATAACCTGTAAGGTTTCTGACTTTACAAATATAAAGAATGGCTAAAATAGCACTGCTACGGTTTGCAAAGACATAAATATGAACACATATTGTTTTGGACAGGAATAGGACTACACTTGAAGCAAATAGACTAAACTACCCTAACTCCACTAGCTACCAATATGTGCAGCCAATCCTTCATCTCCACCCTCTCCAATTCCATATGTGCAGAGAAGAAGATTTCTGCTTCATCGTAGCATACTCGCATGCTACTCCGCCGTCACCCACTCTCACCCGCCGCTCTGCCCTCAAGCGCCAACACCGTTGAAACCAAGCTCAAAATCCCTCACTCAAAGTTCACCTTTAGACATCGATGTCTTTTTCTTCTTCCACAGCTTTGACATTTTCGGATCTGTGTCGACAGTTTCCGGCGGCTAGGGTTCCCAGTTGCTAGCTTTTCAGATCGGGAAAGGCTTGCTCCAGCGACGATGATTTGAAAGTGGCGGAGGTCGATTCTGGGATGAAGGCTCTGCGGGTTTTGAATGAATTCAGAGTGGATCTGTTTATCTCTGATCACAGCAGATTGAGAGGCTAGAGAAGAGGGGCTGGGGCTGGGGAGGCTGGCCGCTAGGGAGGGGGCGGTGGTGGTGGTCACTGGCCAGCATAGTCACTGTCGGGCGGTGGTCACTATTGGTCCGGGTAACTGTCACTTGGAGAGGGTTGGGTATAAAAATAAGTCTCTTTTCTACAAATTTTTAAACTTAATCCTATTTTTTTCCATGAATTCTCATTTAGTAAAATTGATCTCAAAAGTCAAAACCCCTTACAAATACATCCCCTGACTTATCAAATATTTTCTAAATGACACTGATATTCCATTAAGCAATTTACGAAAAAATTGACTGCTCAAAGAGATTCTGTAATGTATATAAATTTCAAGGACCATTTTATAAATTGACCATATGTAGGAGGAGTGAAATGTACTTAACCTTGGATATAGACAAATTATGTCACAAGAATTCTACATCAAATTACAATTGCTGCAAATAAATCATTTTGTAACCTGCGATTGCCCTGCCAGCTTACGATATTGACCATATAGAAAGCCCATTTCGCGTGTTCCAACACCCATCTCCTCCGTGGGAAGGTCCTACATAATAAATACAGAATCAAATAACCAGGACAACATTCCATAGGAACTTACTTCAATTTCTAGAAAAGTATAAAGAGTATTTAGTTAATTCAATACCTTATCAGGGCCTAAATAACGAAACAATTCATTCATAAAGCTCTGACAAAACCGCATGATCTGCAGGTTAACATATTGAAGAAAAAAATACATGAGCTTGTAAAAATCTTGCAGTTAGCAAAAAATAATGTGCTCGAGAATGGACCTCATTGTCACTTTTGCCTTTTGGATCAAAATCACTTCCACCTGAAGATCCACCAAGTCTATAAGGAGATAAGGCATTCTTCAAAGTCTGTAACACAATGAAGACACCAGAAACTGTCAGATTCAGTTAAGAATTTTGTGTTATAATTTCTATGGACAAAACTAGATAGAAAACTCCCAACCACAAAACAGAAAATTATAGCCCATTAATTAATGTGGGAAATGAGCAAAAGACAACCTGTTCAAAACTAAGAAACTTGGCAATGCTCAAGTTCATTGATGGGTGGAAACGGAGCCCACCCCTGCAAGGACCAAGAGTCTGATTGAATTGAATCCGAAATCCACGGTTCACATGTGCCTCTCCCCTATCATCAACCCACGGAACTCGAAAAATAATCATACGCTCAGGTTCTAATAACCGCTCCATCATGCTGACATAACTAAAGAAACAAAAAGCTCCCAAGTTGCAGCATAATTGTCAAAACCATAATGTCATTGAAAGCATTCCAGTTTGGTCCTAAGACTACTAGGTCGATTGTACTTTTGGTCCCCATCTTTACTTTATCACTTCCATTGGACGACTGAATTTCTTGACACTTTTCATCCTCTCGGTATGACCAACTATCATACAATTTCTGGTTGATTTCCCATCAGATAAGTGACAAAAAAAGACCAAAACTGGCAAGGACCAAAAGTGAAAATTATCTAATAGTCATAGGATCCGAAGTGGAATTTTTCCTTTTTTATTCAAAAGATAAATTTGGTGAATACTATTGACTATATATCTATGCATATAGCTTACTTAGAGTTTTTTGAAATCACTCTTTCTAATGCATGAATAGCTTCTTGGATGGATTGTATAAACTCTACTTCTTGAGGGTCTCTTTTCAATGCAGCTTCAATAATTGATCCAGATGTTTTTGACATGAGCGCTTTTTCTAAGATTTCAACAACCATGAAGCAAAAAAATTAGCTAATGCATCACATCATGAAATGTAAATTGAACTTTACAAATGAAGTGTCCTTTTGAACAAAGAGTAATAGCAATTCAATAATACAGAAGTGCTGCATGGCTGAAGATGCTCTATATATAGAATATGACCAGAGAAATTCCTTGATTAACATAATGACAACAACCTGTTGCTTATAGGCTTAATTTCAAGAATATAAAACTTAAATAGTCTAATAATAGGAACACACGCTGCTTGCCGAAAATATGCAACTTTCCAATGAAAAAAGAAAAAAAAAAGTCCTCATTAATTCATATAGCTAGACAGTCAACTCCATTATCAATAAAAATGAGCTCTGAGCACCAACCAGGAAAATGGAGATGGGAATTATTTGGGTGTCTATATCAAAAGATCAAATAAGGGCCTGTTTAGTAAGGATTACTTGGCTGAAATGGCTGATTCTGCACTTAAGAGGAATAACCAGAATAAGGTGCTACCAAACAGGATCTAAGTTTCTACGTACATGTATTGCATGACTCCGCTGGATAAAAGAATTAAATGATTTGCCAGGTATTAAACAAGCTATCCAAGAAATTAAAGTTTCAACATCAAACTGTGTCCCTAATTACCTCCAAGAAATGCGCATTGCGCTAAAAATATATTGAAGATAGATGGAGAGAATCGCTGATGTCCTTTTATTTATTTTTATTCTAAAAATAAAGGTAGTGGGCAGAAAAACTCAAAAAGATAAATGTGATAAAAGTATGTACATTACCTTTAACATATACAGGTTTATCAGCAACAAGTTTATCTTTGGAGGCAGTTTGGAGACGAAGAGCCTCTTTGTGAAGTAAACTATTGTTATGCTCTTCCAAAGCACTCATTTGCATGTTTCTGCTTCCCTCATTCCCATAAGGATTCCTCCTGTGTTTCCGACCATAGTCCCTGCAAACAGAGCAAAATATCCTCGGTGTTCCATCTTTCACGTCAACATAGGCCCACTTATATGTATCAGCCCATTCTTCCCTCCATCTCTTCACAACCTTTTTCTTTTTCTTCATCGGTTGTATCTTTGACATATCTTGACTTTCATCAGCAGGAAGTTGAGAAACCAGTGCCATGTGGTCATTGTTCTCTCTGAGATCTTCTGCTTCGGATTCCTGTGGTGTGATGGAAATAAGGGAGTTGTGGGCAAATGAGTGGCCATCATCATCATCCCCTGTGCCGATTTCCAAATCAATCTCTTCTATATCCCTCACCACCAGGTGGTGGTGATGCCTCTGAGCTTGCTGAATCAAGTTTATCTCATCCATTGTGGAATTCATCCCATCCCCACCAACTGGAATCAGCATTCAGCATGACAATCTAGGAGCCACTTGATTATAGAGTATTAATTTAATAAAACTGCAAAAGTCAGCATAAAGATGTGATCCACTTCCCCCATTAGTTGATTGACACAGCAACAATTATTAGGCTTTGAGACATAGAGCTTTATTGGGGATCTAAACTCTTTTTGACAATTCAATCATGTTTGGGAACATTCTGTTTTTTTAAGAACAACTTCTTTTCAGAAGTTGGAACTTTGTTGTTTATGGCTATTTTTAAACAACTTATTTGATTCTTTTAGCTAATCTTATGTACTACGTAGTATTTTATTTTACTTTGTAAGAGCTAATTTTTTGCTGCAGTCCACACCACTTCTGAACAGACATTACCCCAAACAAAAACTGCAAAAAGTGATACCAACTATAATCTATATATCTATATAGAGAGAGAGTGATTCCGGTGAGAAAGGACTCCCAGAGTCCCAGAAGAGAAATGAGAATGAATTTAGACCGTTGGATTGTATTATGTGAAACTGAATTGTGCATTTGGTGAAACTGAAATGTGCATTACGTGAAATTGAAATGTGTAAAATATAAAGTAAAACTCAAGTGTGCATCACGTGGAATTGTAATTTGCAGAATAAAAGGCACAAAAATGCTACCACATCGTAGCTTTTATTTTGCACATTACAATTTCACCTAATGCACATTTCAATTTCAACTAATGCACAAGTTAGCTTCACATAATGTCATTGTGCCGTACCTTTTGTGTTGCACATTTCAATTTCACCTAATGCACACTCAATTTCACAGAATACAATCTAACGGTCCAGATTCATTCTCATTTTTCTCCTAAGATCTTGTCCATTCTTCCGGACGGGATGCTCCATTCGGCCGCCGCCGTTTGGGGTGGTTCCCGATGGAATTTTATGTCAGGGCGGTCCTTGGGGGAGGGCAGCAGGGGCAAGAGCCCTAGGCCAAAAAACAAAGTAAAAAAATTAGGGCCAATATTTGTGCTTTATACTAAGGCTGAGTAGACCGAGTTTTTGGGCCTGACTAGTAAGGCCTAGTAAGAATAATAGTAAACAAATCATAAAAGTATGGGAGGTTCCTCTCACTTCTGCTTCTACAAATCTGCAATTCTATTATTCTACCTTTGGTGCGTTGCCCCTTAAATCCTCAATCTATGTTTTTTACTTACTACATTAATACTAGGTACATTATTATTAGTTAATAGTTATGATAACTTTTTACTTTTTATTATCAAATTTAGATTTATAATTGTTGACTTACTTATTGAGTGTTGTCTTACTGATTCATGATGTACGGAAATTGTGAATTTGTTCATATTCTCATTTGATCCTGAGCTTGTGTAGTATTACATACGGAGTATCATTTTGTAAAATAGTGAAATTGTGAATGTGTTTTAGCATTTCTAGTTAAAAATGGTTATGAAATTGATTTGTGATTTGTGATAATATTAAAGTTTCTTCCGTAAAAAATTAAAATTTCATCAAATTTATATAATTTAATGAATTTTAAAGTGTAATAAAATTGGACGACTCTGGATGGGATATAATGAAAAAGAGGATAAGAGTAAGGAAAAAATTCACAATATTTTTTAAAAATGAGGCCTATTATAGATTGTAGATCACTTGCTCCAAGGCCTTGAGGTCGCCAAGAACGAATCTGCTTTTTTGATGAATTTTTTTGAGCATGTTCTTCGTGAAGTGTAGAGTATGCCCACCAAATTTCAACTAAAAATTCAATTGGGAAGGCAGTTATCTTTACATAATTATTTGACTGCCTCCCGGATTGAATTTTTAGATGAAATTTGGTTGACATAAACTAGACTTCGTAAAGAACATGTTCACAAAATTTCATCACAAAAATTCCAAAGGGAACCGACCCAAACAGCGGTGCTCGGACGGAGAGTCCTGTCCATCCAGCTGGACAGGATAATTCCTCTATATATACGGAGTGTGTGTGTGTGTATATAAGCTGGACAGCCTGGGATAACTATTCCCGCTTGACAATGTTGACGCCACTGTGACATCATCATGATGTCATCACTGGATGATGTGACACGTGCTTACAGTTAATCAGCAGAAGATTGGCTCTCCCAACTCCTTAATTTAGAAAATTATTCATCGTTTAAATGAAAGAACAGATAAAGAAGGAACCTCAACAACACCCTCTAACTTTCTAAGCTTGATCTATTCACTGCTGATAAGATAAAATAAGATATGTAGGAACAAACAAAACAAGATGAGATAAAATAAGAAGATTCGGAGAGAGCTATAATCGACTACCCTCAGGACATTAGACGAACGGCGTGGTGTAGACTGCTTCCGACGTAAGGGGGAAGAGGAGATGGAAACGGGGAGAGCAATGTCGCGTACGACGACCCTCTCTGGCTGAGCGATGAGCAGAGGAGAGAGATGGTAGATCAGATGAATTGGACCGGATCAAACACTTTGACCCAGTAACTTCAACTCATTTAATTCAACCGGTCGATATCACTAATGGGTTGATTTGCGAAAATATTATGTTTATAATAAGGGAAATTAACTGTTAACCTCCAGAGGTTATATCATAATTATTTTGCCCCTCACATTAATATTTGTTAAATTTAAATTTAATATAATTCTTAAATTCAATTTAAAATGTCTATAAAATTAATTTTTAATGTAAGACACAAATTAGTATCATAATTATAAGTCATTGTTGTTGATAGTAGTTAATAAAAATTTAAAACACAAATTAGGTCTTAGATTGACTGCTTTCAATTATTCTGATCATGGAATAATTGGAATAATCATCACACATTTTGTCTTTTAGGTCCATCATTGCGATTAATTCAACTGAATGAATTACAAATAAGACTTTGTATATTCATAATGAAGAAATGCCTAGAATTTTGATAACACATTTAATAAACAATTCTTTTTATGTATCTCATTAATATGACTCGTGAATCTTCCCCTTAACTACTTTCATTAATTGTTACTCCACGATCGAGTAGTTAAGTAGAAAACAAATGATCATCAACAATGACTTATAATTATGATGATAAATTGTTTTATATTTTAAAAATTAATTTTAAATACAACTTTCATTGAACTTAAGATGTATATTAAATTTAATTTAACAAATATTAACGTGAGGGGGTATATAATGAGAATGATCAAAACTAAGGGAAAACTAATTGATTTTTGAAAATGCAAGGTTGCATTAATAATTAAGATATGACCTCAGGGGGTTAATAATAATTTCAATCAATGCAATTACAAAAATAAATTAAAAGTCACTTACATTGAATAATATATAATCCAATGTGCAAAATCTCTTAATTTTATATCATAAATTAATCTAAAAAGACTTATAAGACTCATAAATTGAAAATATTAGTTACTAGACAGGTTCTTGAAAGCTTTAAGCTGGAAAGTAAATGTTTTATTTAATAATAAAATTTAAAAATAATATATTTTAAATCTCATAAGGAACGTGTTCAAAAAAAATCATCAAAAAATTTCACCGGAAACCACCCCAAACGGCGATGTTCGGACGGTGGCTCCTGTCCGAACTAGGGATGGACTCGGGTCGGGTCAACTGGCCCGTAACCGACCCGACCCGACCCGGTACTATTTCGGGACGGGCTCCGGGTCTCAAAAACATGATCCGGCCGTGCCGGGCCGGGCCAGGTTCGGGCCAATTTTTTTTCTCAAATTCTTTAAAAGTAAATGGGTTGGACTCGATATTTTGGATGCACGCACGCACGCACACGTTTGGGGCGATTCCCGATGGAATTTTTTGATGAATTTTTTGAGCATGTTCCTCATCAAGTCTAGTTTATCCATACCAAATTTCAGATCAAAATTCGATCGAGAAGGCAGTCAAATAATTTGTTGAAGTTAACTGCGCCACATTATACATAGAAAAACGCAATTAACTTCAACAAATTATTTGATTGCCTTACTGATCTAATTTTGAGCTAAACTTTGGTATGGATAAACTAGACTTGATGAGGAACATGCTCAAAAAAATTTATCAAAAAAATCCACTGGGAACTGCCCCAAACGACGGTGTTCGAACGAGGGAGTGTTGGACATGATCATCTCTCTCTCTCTCCCTCTCTCTCTCTCTCTCTCTCTCTCTCTCTCTATATATATATATATATATATATATATATATATATAATATACTACATCATTCATCGTTCATTCATCATCATTACCCCCATGCCGCAATGGGTCCCACCTGCGGTGGGGTAAGGGGGATCGGATGTACGCATTCTTACCGCATAAAGCACAAAGTGACCGTTTCTGGATGACACATAGTGGAAATCGCCTCCAAAATTGCATAGACTGACCGCAATTTCATAACAAAAGAAGTGCAGACAGTTTAGTAAGTCATTTTGCTTGATTCCATCATATTTTCAAGCCAAAAAATAGTGAGTCTTTGGCTCTATCGCATGATGAAAATATTTACAAAATATACTACATAATATATAATATTATATATATGTGTGTGTGTGTTCAAATGAGAATAGTATCTCACGAAAGAAATAAGAATGAAGATCAGCCGTCCGATCTTGTACCGAATCTCACGTGCAACTACTCATTCTAAAGGTTATTCATGTCATTCTATTTTTGAAACCGACGCACGTACTAAGGCCTTCTTTATTTATGCACCTGAGTTCTTTCCATAACCGTTTCTCGAAATCCCTTTCCTTATTGATCACCGTTTGATTTTTGCATCTTTTCTCTTTCCTTTCTCTACCGGTTTCATTCCTGCTTCTTCTCCATCGTCCCTGTCTGTCAAGCCAATTCCCTTCTTGCCGCTCGTCATACACAGTTCTGCCATGGAAACCGGTTAGCATCGTTCCTCTGTTCTTTGTTATGCTCTCATTTTTTTTTTTTACTTTTTTATGTGCTCTTCAATTCTTTCAATGTTTTTAATGTAATAGTTTTATATAATTGTGAATGTATTTGGTGAATATTTTGTAAATAATTCTTCTTTTTTATATTTGTATTTCGTGAATGTATGTGAAATTCTTGAAAGTTAGTGATGGAGTATATGGGTCGAGACCCCAGGACCCACATACTCAGAAGAACAGAAGGCACAGACGTCATCTAGTAGGATCTCCATCGGCCACGCCCTCGTCAGCCACGAAGACATCAACTCAGAATATGGTCCAGAAACCAGGAGAATCGGATGCTCCCGTCGATCGGGTCTCCGTCGGCCACGGAGAACTCACAGAACATGATTTCATACTTAGTCATTTCTATATATCTTGTATTCGGCCCAGTAGCGGTCCAATTGTAGATGGGCCTCCCAAGTCCAAGACTTGGGAGCCCAGCCTACATTTTCTCTATAAATACTCCCTTTGGGAGTAGTTGTAGGGGGGACAAAATCATTAATTAAAACATTTACTGCACTTTTCTTTCTAGCTCTCACTTCTCTCTAAACAATTACTCTATCAAATGAGAAATCCTCTCAAAAACAACAAAAATTCATTCCAATCACGGGAAAAATCGGTCAAAATCATCCTGAAAATTCTGGAAAAATCAAAGAAAGAAATCTGGAATTTAGATTTGGATTTTTTAGTTCTGCCGGAACTGTCTTCGCCTTCGAGGCCTCCTGTCGGTGGACATTGTTGTCTCCGATCCCTGCCCCAAGATATGAGCCACTGAGCTGGAGTATCACCGTCTGTGGATGCTATGAGCTAGGGTCCGCCGCCTCTGTGTCAGCGCCTTCCGCCATGCTCCACCTCTTTATTTTCGTTGATTGTTGGAGCTCAACCTCGAATGACCTCCATTAATGGCCGCTCAAAACTCAGAAAAGGGCAGAATGCCCTCAAACCTGATACCGGCGTCACGACCGGAAGTCCCTGCCGCTTCTGCGCAACACCGGTCGTCTATTGGCGCCGCTCATCGGTGCTCGCGGCCTGACGGGCCTGTTCTTCTAGAACCACCGCGTGTCGCTCGCAGCTCCTCGTGTCTTACTCCTCCAACGCACAGCGCCGGTGAGTCGCCACCTGTGGCTATGCTACGGTTGTCCCCACCACTATCCTCCCTCGACCGTTGCAACTTCTATTATGTTGAAGGAATACGCAACAGTAGCCTATGCTACTCTCTTTGGGTTGGGGTCTTGGTCGCAGGCATTAAAAGTTTGGTCAAAATTGGTCAATAAGTCATGGTGTAATTTCTATAAGACCCAAATTCTTCTCGCAAGGACCAAATGATAGCTCTCAATGAAGGTGCTATCACCTTCATCGACAAACCTGGGGGAGAACCCTCTACGAAGAAACGGGAAATTGGTAGGCTCAGCGACGGCGACGAGGATTTCGAGGAGCCTCCGTCGAAGAAGAACCACATTCACCTTATTGTGGGAGGAAACACTGGGATGGACTCTGCCACCCAGAGAAAGAAATGGGTGTTATCATTTGGTACTTTCATTCAGAGCTAGAACAATCAAGTTAGCATCCTTCGTCGCTGCCAAGCACAACTATCTGATCATGGGAAGAACTAAGTCCAACCGCACCTTTGTCGGCAAGACCATCCCTGAGACTCAGGAGAACAGGGAACACGAGGAGGAAGCAACGGCCGACAAGGCCGCTGGGGGAGATGTCTTCCAGGAAGCCATCGACCTCACAACTGACATGCGCCAACAGCTCAACGGCTGTGCCCCAGACGGTGGCGGTGATTGTGTCAACCCTCTGCCCGGGATCTGTAGCTGGCTTCATCAATTTCAGGTAGCATGCCCTGGCTATCTTCTGATTTCCCATGGCGTAGCCGATCCCGCCACCGGTAGGGAACTTCAAGCATAGGTGTTTCATGGAGATGATGGACTCCAAGTCCTCCAATGTTGGACGCCCCAAGATCAAGTTGTGGGCGCATTGAAGGTTGACCACCATGAACTCCATGTCTATTTTGGTGCGATGGGAGCCGTTGCCGACCTCCACGGGAAGGACTATCGTGCCATCGGCGTCGATAGAGTCCCCGGTGAAGCCGGACAACGGCGTCCGGATCGGCTTAAGCAGCGCCCTGTCCAACTTCAGCTGTTTGAAGGTGTCAAGGTACATAATATTGACGGAGCTCCTCGTATCGATGTAAGTGCGGTGAATGATAGAATTGCTTATCTCACATCGGATGACGAGGGCGTCCCTGTGTGATCCGGTGCCCGGAGGCAAATCTTTGTCGGTGAAGGTGATAGCACCTTCATTGAGAGCTGTCATTGAGAGCCTACCGATTTCCCGTAACTCTGAATGAAAGCACCAAATGATAGCACCAAATGATAGATCCCTATAATCCATCAAATGTTAGCTCTCACTGACTAACACTAGATCAAAGGACAATGAAACAAAATATATAGAAAATGAAGGAAAGGGTGATAAACTGACCTTTGAAGATTCGAAGAAACGGAAGAACACTCGAGCAAATTTCTCTCTCTAGGAATTTGGGCAGCACTTCGTTAGCTCAAATTGCAAGTGGGGGACTTCCTTCGGGAAAG